AACATTGAAAGCTCTGTCCGCTAAACAAACAGGGGACAATTCTAAAAACAGACTATCACAGATCACATTTGATAAGTCCCATCAGGAAGGCATTGCAAAGGCGACTCTTCACAAAATACATTGGACACAGGCACAGTCGTACAGACGAGATGAACACAACCTATCCTCCTCCCCCCATCAGTTTCTCTACTTCTTAAGATCCTCAGACGGCGAGGAAAGTTTAAAAGTGCGCAAGTTGTCAAACAAAAAGAATTGCAACCACTCAGAGCTTCACCCTACTTCCACCCCCCTCGTCCCCCCTTTACGTCCCCTTTACCCTCCCCCCCTTTTCTGATGAATGCAAATCAGCTCCATCATTATGATTACCGAAGTCACTGGTCACATTCCACAGACAGAAGTGGACCAGTGTATCAAACACCCTCCGGTCATCAGCAACCAGTCCTTTTTTTTTTTTTTTTTTTTTTTTTGAAAAAAAACACACCCCTTCTATTCATAGAGGGGCAACAGTCCGGTTACTTTGCACCGGCAAGCTTATTGGCGAGCAGTAACTATTTGAATCATGATGACCAAAGTTGACGTCGTACTTTTTTTTCAGACAAATCACTCCCAAGTAAAAAATGAACCATGCACGACCACCCACAGCATCAAGAAAAACGCGCTCCCTAAAATCTGCCAATCCTTGCTATGTCTGGACCTGGTGATTTTCCCTTTTGTACATAAGCATAGATTCATAGAATGATTAGAATCCCTCCAACGATTGGCAGTCCGTCGTTTCATTGCGAGAATTCGCGACGACTACAAAGGATGATGCCCTTCAACTTCTGTTGGCAGAAGCACACTGCGCTATTGTAAGCACTCCTCCGATCCGAGGCTGCGACCATCCACAACACTGCGCTATTTTAAGCACTCCTCCGATCCGAGGCTCAACCATCCATCCACAACACAGTAGAGCGGTTACGGCTGCTCCTATCTAATACCCCTCCCGCCCCATATATTGTATGCATATGCTCATACAGTGTGGTCCCCACCTTTATTACTATTATTATTCCTTAAAAAGAAAGCCGGAGTGTCGTCGCGGGCCGATGCCGCACATAATGTCCGGTCGATTGCTGCACTGTTCAGATATTGTGCCCTGCGCGCAGCAGAGCAGCAGGGTAGACGACCATAGAATCTATATATCACTCAATTGTTCTGCCATTCATTGCTGCATTGCACAGCAGCTCTCTCCGTTCCCGCTTGACACACAGCCAAGGGCGTCTCCACAAATCACACCCCTGTACCGCAAAACCGCTGTCTGCGACCGCACTGCAAGCACATCATATACTGTCCTTTTTCTTTTTTTTTTTAACTGCAAATATGCATCCGACATTGCCGATGCAACAATACAGAATCTATAGATAGATAGAAAAGAAGAGGATCCCAACAGCAAAGCGCAGGGAATACGGTAACAAACACCAGTAACAAACACCGGTAACAAACAAACACCAGTAACAAACACACACCGGTAACAAACACCGGTAACAAACACACACCGGTAACAAACATCGGTAACACACAACGGTAACAAACACCGGTAACAAAAAGAACACCGGTAACAAAAAAAACACCGGTAACAAAAAAAACACCGGTAACAAAAAAAACACCGGTAACAAACACCGGTAACAAAAAAAAACACCGGTAACAAACACCGATGCAGTCAATCTTTTCCTTATCCAATCTAAACTCTTCCTTTTTTTTTTTTTTTTTTTTTTTTCCCTCACCATGATAGTGATGCTGTACCAGTGTACCTCTAGATTCTTTATTACCCAACATCGGTTAACAAGCGAGGAAGATCTACTCGGTCAGAAATAGCGGAGAGTCGCCAGCACTTCCTCCCGCTAAGTCTCCCGCGTCGCGGCATGGGTATTCCTTTTCACCCCCTCCAACCTGATACTCTGTAATTCAACAGTCACGACCGTCTTGAGTCTTGACTGATTGACGCTACCCCTTCTACGAGCTAACTACCGGTAGTAGAGTTACGGTGAGAAAAAGGAAGAGACCGAGAAACAGTGCTCACTTAAAATGAATATATCGCATATCGTATATAGTGTATATAGTGTATATAGTATATAGTATATAGTATATCATTGGGAGTGCGGTTGTGACGGTTGGGTTGGTCCATTGGTTGTGAAAGAGTGCGTTCGACTGCAACTTCTGCCATGTGTATGGATGGATGGATGGATGTGTGACAGTACGCTGCACTGCGAGTTCTGCAGCATTGATCATTCATGAATGTACCGTCCATACGAAACATCCGTCCATTGATACCAGTCTGATGGTCCAACGTCCGAACCAGCCGCCTCCATTTTGTTTTTTCTTTTCCTTTCTTTTCCCCCCTCCTTTCTTTCCTAAGGGAAAAAGAAGAAGGACAAAAAAAAACATTATGGCTCGTACCTTCTTCGACGTACGATCTTGAAAGTTGTTTGCCCCTTCGCTCTTCAACGTCACGATCGTGAAACACCTGCTTGCAGTACCAATCAGCGAACAAGGGGCAAACTACCTTCAACAGCCAACAGAAGTCAGCTTCAAAGTACGTAAACCAGATCTCCTGATGATGGTACGTCTAGATGTCTCCTGAGGAGCCCGCTTCTGTTGCTTCAAGCAGCCTGTGTCTCCTCTCTCTCTCTCTCTCTCTCTCTCTCTCTCTCTCTCTCTCTCTCTCTCTCTCTCTCTCTCTCTCTCTCTCACTTGAGAAAACCTGGTGATGCATCATCATCTAATTCACCTCGCCTCTCCTCAGCTCATGTGTGTACTTGTTCAGTCGAATGGACCATTGTTATGCCCTCTGGCGTCTCTGTCACCCTTCATCCCGTTACGCTCTCTCGTGCTTCGTTCAGAGTTCCCCAGAGACGAATCCAGATGACGAGGACAGCCCCTCGCCTCCACCGGCCTCTCTTCAATCAGCACTCCGATGGAAACAGAACTCAGGAGATTGGCATAAACGCCTTAATGTTTAAAAGAACCGCAGATGGTTGACGGCAGGCAAGGTAGTTGGACTCCCCTTGAACCTGACTGCTGTCGTTTCACGCTGTTTTCTCCCTCTTTTGACCGCGGTAAGGGACAACTGCAATCAAAACAAAACCTGGAACACGACGAGATAATCGTCATTAAGAGATCGTATTAACGTTAACTTGGTTTAAGAGGATCTGACTTGGTAGTGGAATAGGAACCGGACTGATGCTCCGCAGAATGGATATGGAGCCAGGGCTATAACCCTATAATATAATAATCTTTTTAAAGGGAAAGAGTGGGTCTCGTCTAATGCCGTCGTCAGCCCGGACAAGGCGTGGGCCCAAGGGTAACTTGCAGAAGCTGTTTTTTTTCTGCGTTCCGCGTGAGTTCGAAGGGCGGCGCGGCGTGGCAGAAGTGTTTTGGGCCATAGGGAAGTGTTGTTTCTTTTCCTGCGTGTTTTCTGTTTTCCCGTGTAGACGAGTTTGAGCGCTGTCTGGAAAAAAAGACCGGGTGCAACAAAATTGCCTATTCTCTCTCTCCCGCTCTCTGTCACTCTCGCTCTCTCTCACACACACACACACAGACACACACAAAAAAAAAGGAAAAAAAAAGTGCCAGTGTATATTTCCATGTTCTAGCCGAAGATTCATTCCGATTTTGCTCATCCTATCGATGGAAGTAGCCTCTCTCTCTCTCTCTCTCTCTCTCTCTCTCTCTCTCTCTCTCTCTCT